TCAAAAGAGGTTGAGTAAGGCTCTGTATGCTCACAATTTTCTAAATAGCTCTGAAGGAGAGCCTCACCCCCTGATTTATAGATATTTTCTGAACAACGAAAAAGCAAAAATAAAAGGGCACCCCTCAGTCTTAATCAAAACCTTAGACACAGGACAAATAGAAGGTCCATGCAAATTTGTAACATGGGGGAGATGGTTTGCTTGTGTTTTCACAGGTGAAGGATTCAAATGGGTCCCAGCAAAGAATGTGAAGCCCTACCATGCACTGAAATCTGCTAGCACCCCAACACCAGGCAGTGCTTCTATAAGTGCAAGCCAAAAAGCGGGTACTCAGACCTGAACTGTGCAGAGCCGAGAAGAAATGATCTGCCAAAGACAGCCTGAGAAAAGAATGGAGATTTATTGTTTGCACGTGCATGTTGCTTTTGTTCCCTTGTTGTTGCTTTTGTTCTTTTGTTTTAGTTTTTGCATTGAAGTTTTACCTGCAAACCAACCAAAGACAAATGCCTGGGTTGCTTTAGCCAAGTCTGCAGGCTCTGGTATCATCTCTTTAGCTGACACATACCTTTTTCAACCTGTTCAATTAGAGAACCTTCTCCAGAAGGTCTTGATAATGCTAACTCAGTTAAATTCTTCCATTACACTAAAGCAGTCAAACAAGTTAAAATGCTGGCTCAGTAAAGAAATAAATGCCGCCTCTACTATAATCAGTAATCTAGCTAAACAGTCTATCTGATGGTTTGAGCTTTGCATCTTGGCTGAAGGAACTCTGTGAAGTAGATTTAATTGTTTTAAAAGTAATAAGTGTAGTTTCAATAGCAATATCCTATATACCTCAGAGTGTGCAAAAAAAAGTAATTAAGTCAGTTTTTAGCTTTCAAATGGTTTAACAAAATGGGGGAATTGTTGCGGAAGATAGATAAATATGATTATCCATAAATAATACAGCCAGGATGAGAACAGTCCTCCCTGCTAGCCGGACAACACCCCTGCCTACGGATGGGTCCAGGG